TACAAGCTTAACCACCTCTTTATTAATGTCGCATCCTCACACATAGCTCTCTGCCTATCGTACGCTCGGTTGAAACACGTCCGAAGACTGTCTGTACGCTTAACAAAGTTGGCTGGCCACTTCTGCCCAACCTGGCCAGCGCCGCGCGCAGCCAGCAGCTTATCAGCCATATCGCGTGCAGCTGCGTAGGTAGGCGCAAACCCGCGCTGATCTAGGTGAAGTATATAGCTAATAATCACCTCCTCTTCTCTCTGGGTAAGCTTCCTTGAGTTAGGCTGGCAATCGCGTCGTGCAGGTATACCAGCGCGTCGGCGCGTGAGTGTCATTCGGGCGACTTCAAATGTCCGCGCAGCGTCTCTATTAGACTGGAGCTGGTTTCGGGTAGTAGCTGAGATAGCTAGCTGTATATCAGCTTCATAAGAAGGGTTTTGGGATTGTTTTGGTGGAGCCATAATTGATTGAAGTTAGGTAGATGCAAAAAGTTGGTGGGGTGGCCCACTCGCTTGCCTGGCCCACTCGCTTGCCATCCACGTTATATAAGGGCCTAAGAGTATACTACTATTGCTGCACTCTACAAGGATAGCCTAAAGCTTCTTTAGGAACTTTATAGAGATCTTTTAGCTCGCGTACTTACGTACTATATAAAGAGAATGTTAGAAGGATATTTAGTAATAGAAAGAAAAGGGAAAATAACCTATAGAAGTCTAGAATAAGTAGCTTAGCTAAAGATAATAAAGAATAGTTATAGAGCTTATTAAACTAATAGCCTACGCTACTAGAAATAACCTTCTTCTTTATCTTTAGGGAATCCTTAGCGTAAGAGATATTTAGCTAATAGATACTAATAGGAATAGTAGAAGAAGTTACTAAAATTAGAGTAATAGTTAAGAGAGCGGTAGTAAGAACTAGGGTATTACCCTTAACGTAGTCTTAGCTCCGCTTCTTATAATTAGGAGTAGCGGCTAGATCTTAGGGAGCGACGAGCACTAAGTAGGGTTTAGCACGCGCTAACTTAGTAGTAGGCGAATATAAGGCGGGCGTACATAATAGCTCTAGGCTAGAAAACTCTAAACTAAAGGTTATTTACCGCGCTATAAGAAGAAAGAGAGAAGAAACGTAAGAAGTAGTAAGAGAAGGTAATAACGTGTTTTATAAGCGAGTCGTCCTTACAAGCGAGTCGTCCACCCCACCAACTTTAATTACCTTTGAAAATCAAATTAGTTATGCCTCAACGCCAACAAGCTCTATTACGCTCATCTAAAGCTGATATGCAGCTTACTATATTATCTCTTAATAGCCACTAGATTAAGACTAAGAGAGCTGCTGCTCGCGCGTGTAACGTCCCTCGAATGACGCTACGCGACCAACGCGCTGGCAGGCCTGCACGACGCGATTGCTAGCCTAACTTAAAGAAGCTTACCTAGCTAGAGGAGGGAGGTGATTATTAGACATATACTCGACCTTAATTAGCGAGGATTTAGGCCTACGTATACAGCTGCGCACGATATAGCTAATAAGCTGCTTACTACGCGTAGCGCAGGTCGCGTTAGCGTCTACTAGCCGCGCAACTTTGTAAAGCGTACAGACAGTCTTATGACGCGTTTTAATCGATCGTACGATAGGCAGAGAGCTCTATGCGAGGATCCTATGCTGTTTAGCTGCTAGTTTAAGCTAGTAGAGGAGACAAAGGCTAAGTACGGCATCTATAATAAGGATGTCTACAACTTTAACGAGGCTGGCTTTATAATAGGCAAGATCTAGACTTAGCTAGTTATTACAGGGTTAGAGAGGAGAGGTAGGCTAAAGACTATCTAGCCTAGCAACCGCGAGTAGGTGACGGTAATTGCTGCAATTAACGCTGCTAGCTGGACAATCCCACTGTTCCTTATCTTTGCTACAGTGCACGGTCACCAGATGATCACCAACGCCAGTTGAGCACCCCAACAACTCAATATACTCAAAAAGATGGACTTGTAGAGCCCCCACCAGTCGTGATAAAATTGCGTAAATAATAATTAATACTATATACAGACCTGGGAAAGTCTTGCGCTAGTCAAATAATTTTTTGTGGGCTGGATTGGTCGTGGACGGCGACTACGCGCTGGGGTAGCTGGTGCAACGCTTGCGACTCCTACCACAGCTGGAGCAACCCCAACACGCTTTTGACGCTTTGTAGCTGGCTTATAAGGTTGTGAAGCTTTGCGCTTACCCTTTTAGGGCAATTGTATAACTTTTCTAGCGTTGTTGAGGAGCTTCTGGTGTTGTTTCTCAGCTAGTTTTGCAGCAGCTACCTTCCTCCGCTCCTCCCGGAGTCTCTCACGCTCAACACGCTTCTCCTTCTGTAGTTGAAGCTTGCAGAGGCGAGCTTTCTCCTTCATCTCAGCTATCTCGGCTTTTTAAAGCTGTAGTTGTTCGGCTTGTTGTTGTCGTGATACCTAATTATCCCGAGCTTGTTGTACACGCTTAGGTGACCACAAAATAGCTCCCCCATGATACTCAGGATGGTTATCAAGCTGTAGGGTGTAGGACTTGTTATCCCGTCTCTTCTTGATGGCTAGGGAGTTTCTGAGACCTCTGACCTCGCCGCGGAGGAGTGTATTTTAAGCTGCAATGTGGTGCAAACTTCGTTGAAGCTTCTTAACGTCCTTGTTGCTCTGATCCCTCACCTCACGGCGTACAATTGACTTGAGCTTGAGCCAATCCTCCCCGGAGAGTACAGAGGTTGAGCTCTCTTCTGAATCTGATGCCTCCTTAGCAAACTTTTTGAGTACAACCTCTAGGTTAGGTGGGTGTATACTAGTTGCTTCAAAGGACCTCTTGATGAGTAGAGGTTTGAAAGTCTTACTCCAAGCCCTCCAGAAGAGCGGGAAGAAGTCTCCTTTAGATATATTAAGTAACCCTTGGCTGTCTTGAAGGTATTCAGCCAACTCAGTTGAGTAAGCGTTCGCGAGAGGTTTAAACATCACAACGTCAAGCGGTTGAAGCGTATAGGTAGCGTGAGGTGGGTATACAGCTAATAGGATCTTGTGGTCGTTGCAGTAATTAATAAAGTCCATAGTAACATAGGATCCATGGCCGTCAAGGAGTAGTAATCGATACCCAGTTGAAGCATGCTGTCTGGTTTCTCTCTCAAACACCTCCTTGAGCCAAGCTAACCCAATATCGTTGTTGCTCCAGCCAGAGGGAGACGACGTAGTAAAGACCGAGTGCTCCCCTACTTGTATAGCATCAACCCAGCTTAATTAAACAGCTCCATTGGCTCCCTTGAAGATGAGTGAAGGACTCAGAACTAAGCCATCTGAACAGATACAAGCCAGCACTGTTATCCACTCAGTTGAGCCATCCTCAAGTGCTTGGCGTACCCCCTTTTGATCGTAGAGTGCCTTAGAGAAGATACGCTTTGTTCTGCCAATCCTTCCAAGTTGAAACCCCTTCTCATCCATATTGAATATATAGGTGGGCGAGATGTTGTACTCCTCAATCTTATTAAGGAGAAGCTTGAAATACAAGCTGTACTTGGCTCCTGAATCGGCTTTGCACCGTTGTTTGCTCATCCCCTTGCTGTAGGCAGAGATGAGATGGTTGGGATGCCGGCGGAGGAACCGGGAAACCCAGGTTTCTGAAACCGCTTTTCTAGCCAAAGATGAAGCAAAGCGTTGTATCATTAACCTCGTAGGTGGCAAACGTCGTTCAGTAAGTGTCTGTATGTACTTTACAAGCTCGGTTTCGTGTTGTGGATGGAGGGAGAGCTGGCGCACGCCATAGGCCTCGGTTTCGCCCTTGTGCCGTCTCATCAGCGTCATACGTCCTACACCATACTTTTTAGCAATTGCTTGGTACGAGAATTCATCTCCTGGTTCGCGTGATTCGATTTCTGCAATCGCTTCTTGAATCGGATCCATATTGGTTGAGTTATGACGCGTTGAAGTTGTGTTGTGGTGGTGGTGGGGGTGCTCAACTGGCGTTGGTGATCATCTGGTGACCGTGCACTGTAGTAAGTATCACTTGTCAGCCTGGTATGAGGAGGCAGAGATCCTACGCGACTAGGCGATCGCAGTTAGTGACAACGGCTAGACGACGAACGAGATAGGATTTAAGTGGCTAAAGCATTTTATTAGGCATATAGATAGCAAGTTAGTTAGGGCACGCTGCCTGCTTATCCTTAACGGCTACAAGAGCTACTAGTCTCTTAGGTTTCAAGAGCTCTGCAAGGAGAGCAATATCTACACGCTCTGCATGCCAGCTCACTCATCTTACCTACTGCAGCCTCTTAACGTAGGCTACTTCTCGCCTATAAAGCGCGCGTACAGCCGTGAGATTAAGGCTCTAATGCTATACAATATTAACTATATTACTAAGCTTAAATTCCTGCCAGCCTTTAAGGCAGCCTTTGATTAAATCGTTTACCTTAGCTAATATCTACTTAGCTTTTCGAGGCGCAGGCGTAGCCCCTCTCTAGCTAGACGCTATTCTATTAAAGCTTAACGTGCAGCTGCGTACGCCTACTCCACTAGCTGCTCTCGCAGAGCCTCCCTAGGAGGCTCGTACACTAAGCAACGTACGTAAGTTTAAGGCTTAATTAACGTTGATACGTGATCGCGTGCGGCAGCATAAGAGCTTATTATTAGCCTTAATTATTAGGGCGATTAACTAGCTTAAAAAGGGGGCTAAGGTGATAATGCTCTCAGCTAAGCTTATGCGCGATTAGATTACCTGCCTTACGAGAGCCAAGGAGGCAGCAACTAAGCGTAGGCAGCGCAAAAAGAAGCGGATACAGAAGCGTGGGACCTTAACAAAGGGAGAGGGAGAGGATATACTAGCTCAAAAGGAGGCTGACTAGCAGATTGAGCGTGAATAGCGTTAAGGTGGTGAGCGATTAGGCCTTAGCCGCTAGGCTATTGCGCGCTGCAGGAGGTGCAGGGAGACTAGGCACAACTTACGAACGTGCAAAAAAGATGCTGTAGATACTATTTAATCTACTATATTAATCGCTTTATTCTACCTTATTCCGTTGTTGCGTTGCGTAGCTTTGAAGGTAATTAAAGTTGGTGGGGTGGACGACTCGCTTATAAAACACGTTAACGCGGTAAATGTAACATAATAGTAATTAGTAGCGAAGGAGTATAGTAAGGTATTATTATTATTGCTACTTAGGAGAATATTTGCTACGATAGTGCGCGAAAACTAGAGTCTAATAGCTACTTAGAAAAGCGGGGCACCGCCTAGGCAATAGCATTATAGAGGGATTAGAAGAGAAGAGGGTAATAGATTATAAATAGGGCCTAAAAAACGAGGAAAAGAGTAGATTAGGATATACATACGGAGTGGAATATTTTATTTATTAGGAAAAATTATCTAAGAAGGAAATAGAGAGGGTATAGAGAGAAGGGTAGGCGTTAAGAATATACTTAGTATGTAGAGGCAGTTTATCGCCTATCTAAGTGGGTTTCAGTTATAGATAAGAAAGAGGGGGCCTTCCTCCTAAGCGAGGGAGGGATGTGGTAGAGTAAGTGGGAATGGACGGACCCGAAGGGCGCTCGGACAGTGGAAACCATATAGGATCGCGAAGGATCCCATCGGACATCACTCAGACACCTACACACACACACACACACACACACACACACACAACAATCTAATCTCTAATACTTGCATTGAGCACACGTTCCTGTAGGAAAATCCTCCACTACACTGTTAGCTTATTACTGTTAATAAAGCGTTTAAGGGGGCGGTTTAACGATGCCTTAGTGAGGGCGTCTGCAGGATTGTCTTTGCCATTAATCTAGCGGATCTCCGTGATCTGGCGAAGCTTATATAATTATCGCAGCGCTATAATATCGATTATAAGGCGCTTCTCCTTCGTTGTCCTAAGCTTTATGTTGGGAATTGAAACTGCGGTAGAAAAGGCAGCTGGTTGCTGCATGCACGAGCTTGGATTACACGGCTAACTAAGCTGTGTGGTCCGAGCTCTAGCTGCTGCCTTACTGCCAACCTCCCTCTACCTCCATAGAACAACAAGAATAATTACAATTATTTCAACTCGTTGCAATGAAGGTGATTCTAATACCTTAGCTGTATTAACACTAATTAGTAGTTGCTATACTACAGATCAGCTAGATATCTAATAAGGAGACCTATCAGCTCTTTTACTGTATAGTCTTAGCTAAGAAGCGACTCCTCCTACCTTATAGTAGTAAGGAGTGCGAAGTACAGCACCGCCCGCAGAGACAACCTTTTTGTCGAAACGCAAAAAGACTAATCTTTGAGCGTTACGGCTAGAGAATATATATATTTCTGCGACACTTTTTAAGGTAGCGCTTTCGCCGACAGTTCTAAAGGAGATCTTGAATAAAAAGATCTGCGTTAACTACGCATGGAAATAACTCACAACGCCTGCAACTAATAGTAAATAATTAACTAACTTTAGCACTATAGCACTATATGAGAGCGTTAAGTACTAACTATAGTACTCTAAGATGCACAAGAGTGAGTATATTAACGCGGAACTCGACCTAACTAACACAGTTATAAACGCTAATAAACTAAATACTGTCGTCCTTAACTAGGTCGTCTAAGTTAAAGACGATAGATAGCTCAACCTTTTTATCCTCTAGGATTTCTAAAAGTCATTTAAGGATTAGACTTAAGATATTATTAGTGCGGTCGACGTGCGGCTCTAGAAAGCAGTTAAGGAATTACTCTAATACTAAGGAATTTATATCTAGATTAACAGTTGTGACACAGTAATAACGTAATTATATAACCTGCTCTATCTCTCGTTGTGCCTAATATAGCCTAACGAGGAGCTTAAGCTTATAAATAGTAACTATAGTAACCCTAACCCTCCGCAGCTACTAACAGGATACCTATAAGCACAGTACTTACTGTCGCTGTCGGGACATGCGCGTACAGCCAGCCCGGCGAGATTTTCCGGGCCGGAAGCTTAGACCACTAGTTAGACCAAGCTTCCCGCTTAGCTCGCAACTGTACATATAGAGATCTCTCTATCCAGCTCTTACTCACTACTAATTAAATACTATACACTTTGTTCGTTGCAATGACTGCTGGTATTCGACACCTTTGCCGTGTCAACAGTCGCTAGCTGAACTTAATATAATAGCACTTACAAACCTGACAAAGCTGTACATTAATAATAATAAGTTTAGTAGTAATAAGTATAACGTGCTTAGTGATAAGCTAGTTATCTTTTAAGAGCTTTACGCTAAAGTTAGCATTTAACCTAACTAAACCAACTACTATAAGCTAGCTATCTCTACTATGTTTACTAGTAAAGCGTTAACTTACTACTACTATTCTATCGCTCCACTTAACCTTAGATACGAAGACATTATCGCGAAACTAGGCGCTTACTTCTACA